CCCCCCCAGCCTGGTCCCGGGAAGAGGGGGAGGGCTGGGGGGCATCACGTGGCTGGCTCGAGCCGTGCCAGGTGCAGAGTCTGCTAGCTGGGTGCTGGCAGGCTTGCACCTGGCACGGGCACCGTAGCCAGCCCGTGCCCCTTTAAGGGGTCCGGGGCCGGGAGGGGGGCAATAGAGTTTCCCTGGTGTTGGCCAGAGTGGCCACCAGGGAAAGCTGGGGAGGGCTAGCCTCCCACTAGTTCGAATTAAGGGGCTACACACCCCTTAATTCGAACTAGTAAGTTCGAACTAGGCTTAGCCCTCGTAGAATGAGGTTTACCTAGTTCGAACTAAGCGCTCCGCTAGTTTGAATTAAGTTCGAACTAGCGGAGCGCTAGTGTAGCACCTATCAAAGTTCATTCGAACTAACGTCCGTTAGTTCGAATTAACTTTGTAGTGTAGACATACCCTTAGAGACTAACAAATACAATAGATCATGAACTTTAGTGGGTAAAACCCACTTCATCAGATGAGTTGGAGTGGAAAATACAGAATACAGCAACAGGAGTTACCTGTCAAATGTTGGACCCATGTTAATGAAGTTAATTAGATAGTAGGTATGAATGGGACACATCCAGCCTGATGTGAAAACGTGAATATCAAAGACCGAGGAAATTGGCTTTGTAGTGCATTAACCAGTTAATATCTTTATTCATGCCCATATTAACTGTGTCAAACTTGTAAAAACTGGTATTTTGTACAATTAGATTGTATCCAAACAAACTTCCTGAGTAACAGGACTTCAATACTTGACTTTTTTCCTATCCGTACCCAGCTAGCAAGGTAATAAGCATGAGAAATAGGAAGTAGGAAACATGGAAAATAACTTTGTACCCTTATAGCTTACTTAAGCCTACACCCAAACCAGAAAGTGAATTCCCTTCTTTTGCCTGCTTTTCAACCATATGCAACTGTACAAGTCCTATGGGACTGCTCCAAATACCTCCTACAAAAACAAAACAACATACCTCTGGTGTTATCCCCCCAAGAGCCTCTGGAACGGAACTGCAAGTGTTGGTAAGCATTTTCACACTCATTACCACACTTTATGGTTATGCGCTTTTATCTAAACTTGAACTCATTTCTGTGGTATGTGTGGGGGCAGAAATAGGGCATTTCCAAAAAAAGTGTAGAAACCAACCCTGAGGATGTTTTGCACTCAAAGGGTTCCAGTAGCCACACCCCCCAGAAAAGAAAATCACAACATTTGGTGTAGTTTAGGGATCTTCGATAGCATGTAATTGAATAGTCACGTAACTGCATCGAATTTTAGCAGGTATACAACTATTCGATTGTCTCTGCAGGCGGACTCCCAGCCAGTGTGCTCCAGGTCCCACTCCCAGGGAGCCTGTATGCTCCCACAGCTCCACTTCCGGGGGAGCCCCCTACCACTGTGTGCTGCTGCCTCTGTATAAAAACCAGCTCACTGCACAGACCAGCTCCGCCTCCCGCCTCTCACTGCTGCCTCTGATACAGAGGTTGCTCTGCAATAACACTCTCTGTCTGCAGTGAGCCCGGACCTGCCGTGGACAAAAGCTGCTGTGCAGCACTCTTCCTTGCTCCCCTGTCCATGCTGTAGCAGTGAAGGAGGGAGAGGGGAGAAGAGGCGGCATCCCAAAGCCAGTTAGAACCAGCTTTTAAGCTGGCTTCCCCCAGCACCAGCTCCTGCCTGCTCCCCTACAAAGGCAGTAGGGGAGGGGTGGTGTCCGTGGAACTGGCATGCACAGAGAGCCACTTAAAAGCCAGCTCCTGCCTGCCCCCTCACCCTCCAAGCTGATGCCTCTCTATCAGGTACAGAGCCAAGGGGTGGAGGACGGGTGTGTGTATACGTGTGGAATGCATGTAGTCAACAGGCTTAACCAGTAAACCTAAGCTTATCAGGTAATCGTGTAGTTGTTGATATGTTGACATCCCTAGTCTAGTTGCCAGCTTGGCTGGTCGAATGCTTTCAGCTATCTCCCATGTAGCCAGTAATAAATACATATACAATGAATCCAATAAAGCAGCAGAACAACTTGGGAAGGCATGCTTGAAAAGAACAGCAATGCTGTACTGGCTTCATATATGTCATAGGAGAAAGATGAAAGCACACAAACCTACTGATATGTGTCAAGGATGTTAACCAAGGAAAATAATGTTTTGGACACTGAAAAAGTCTTTCATGTTAAGCTATGAAGTATATTGCAGATTACTAATATTGATAAATGGTCGCAGCCACTAATGTTCAAGAATTTGGCTAGTGTAAGAGAGTTAAGAATATGCACTGTAAAATACCTAAGTCTTTCAATTAGCCATCTCACCAGAAAAAAAGACCAATCTTCGTGTCACCTTCAAACACCAGAACTCCCGTCGGGGTCAGTCCAAGGCTGTAATCATTGCCATCCCTTGCCTAAGTATCACAGACCAAAAAAGGTTATGTTCAATTGCACATGGAAGACGCCATACACGTATAAATCATTCCAGTGTACAAAATATCCATCCCTTCATTGTTAAGATGAAATACTAATCATTATTTTATTACAATAATAAAACTTTCACGAGATATGGTTGTATAAAAAAAGCTTCCTAAATAGCTTACTCTTATCCACAACTTTAGAAAGAGATCAGGATAAAGGCAGGAAGGTTTTCTTTATATGCTTATGGGCTAAAGACCCTCCTTGTGTTTTTCTCTATCCTTCTTCCTTTACAGTCTATTTAATCTTTCTATACAACAACCATAAAGTGATACCATATTAAATCTCAATCCAATTTTGATTTCATTTACCCTGATTTTTACACAGGTTTCAGGCTGATTGAAATCTGAAGCATCTATCTCATATTTAACACACAATATAAATATAGACAGATGAAAATTATAGTCTCCAAAGCTCTGCACTTTAAAGGGGCAGCGCATTAGGAGCCTGGGATCAGCTGGGGACTCCCAACTGATCCCTGGCTCCGTGTTGCTAAGCCCCTTTGAAGTGCCGCTCTGGCGCTCCAAAGGGGCAGCGCAGCATTAATGCCTGAGATTAATGCATTAATAAAATTAACATGTTAATCCTATCCTGTGTTAATCACAGGCGTTAACGCAGGTCAATTGACAGCCCTATTAGTTTTCCTATACAACACTTCTAGTTTTGCACAACACTTGGAACATTTGACCTGCAAGAATAACCATTTCCAAAGCGGTCATCCTGTGGGCAATCTTACCTTGACTATGTGCATGTCCACCCCATACATTTCCAGCCACTTAGCTTTGTTCAAATAGTTAGTTTCAGCTTGGGCTGGTGTTTGGCCTCTGAAATAAATTTATTTATAATTAAAACAGAATCCTCTAAAACTATGAATAAGGAAAAGAAACTAGCATATAAAGGGAAAAAATGTTTGTGGGTCAGCAAAAAACAAACATTGCTGTCTCTCTCAAAGTTACATGAGCATCAAGGTCACCTTTGCTAATTTTAACCTGAAATGCTGACTGTTGCAAAAAGCAATGAATTACAAGATTAGACAAATTAATGATTTCACTGAAACTATGGAATTTTACCATTCATGGACAGGAGTAGAATTTCATCCAGGATTGAAAAGGCAGACATGTAAAAATACCAATTTTCACTTTACATTCTCAACCAAGAATTGTTAGCTTTAGTTTCTTATGTTCTATGATGGAATCACATTAAGATTACAGGTGGGTGAAAGATCATATGGAAAAGTCAGCATCATCCCCGTTGTATCATATGCTCTACTCATGTAAGAGTCAGAAAGTTGATTTGGCACACATGGATCAGGAGCTATAGTACCTGTATTCCTTCCACTTCTCAAAAATGGCCAGTTCCATCTCTTCAGTTTGAGTGGGCACAAACCTAAACTCAGACACCAGGTCAGGAATATGTTCAGCGGGATCATAGTCTCCAAGTTCAGCTACAAAGAAAAAACACTGTCAAGTGACATTCCATTCAAAAGCAATAGCATTAACAAGACCTGGCTTGAGCTGAAGAAAATCTACCATGATTTGTTTACTTTAAGTGTTCCAGACTTAAAAATTCTCCCACTCTCTATGTCCTTTATTTATTGTTTCCACCTGTTTTGATGTGGTAGCTGCAGGCACTGACAGATAGCCTTACAGCCTAAGTTCTGAACAGAACTTCTGCATCTGATGATGAAATGCTCTTAGTAGAGCTTCTCAAAATTTTTCCTGCAAAAAGGTTTCCAGCAAATAAATAAATAAATAACTTTAATAAAATGGAACATCTTGTGGAAAACTGTCAACATCTTTGAACTGTTAAGATCTTTGACTCTCTTGCAACATTTTCAACAACATGTTAACTATTTAAAAACAAACAGTATTTCAGTCACAACTGTAAACTGCTGATTTTTTTAAAAAAATAGAGAAACTTGTACAATTTTCAAGAACAGAGACCCATTTTGAATCCTGTAGAAGGAAATAGTTTTAAAATGATTTTTTTCTTCATTTTTTCATCTGCAACACACACAAAAACAAAAAACCAAGATGGCCAGTGTCATGGCTCCTTCCCCATTCTGGCATGATAAATGCAGAAGTGGGGGCCAGCAAGTGTACTCCAAAGCCTTATCTACCAGGCTTTGGTATAAAACTTCCCCCAAAATCTTAAAAACCTAGATCTTGTGAATAAAACTTCCGCTGCCACCACCGAAGTATTGATAAAGAAATCAGGGGAAAGATCATTTGAACAATCCAACACTTATAAGGCACAAATTTAGAACAATGGCAACAGGACATTATTAACCTATTTACAGTACCGACTCGAGGACTGCAGAACCCACACCTGCATCCTCCCTAGCTTGCTGAGATAGCGGGTAGTGTGCTGTAAACGTGTGGAGGGAAGACCACGTGGCCGCCCTGCAAATTTCTGTTATTGGTACCTGGGCACCAAAAGCTACCGAGGACGCCTGCGCCCTGGTGGAGTGTGCCTTCACCCTGGGTGGGGGTTTACCAGCCAGTTGATAACACTCTGCTATACATTGCACCACCCATCTTCATAACCTTTGCGTAGAAATAGGTGAACCTTTCCCCTTATCCCCAAACGCAACGAACAATTGTTGGGATTTATGGAAGGGCTTGGTTCGGTCAATACAGAACACCAGCACTTGCTTAGCATCCAGGGAGTGTCACCAGCGCTCGCTTGGCATCGCTTGGCTCCTTAGAGGAGTCGTGGGGTTTAGAGAAGAACACCGGTAGATAAATCTCCTGGGACAGGTGAAAAGGTGAAACCACCTTCGGGAGGAAGGTCGGATGAGGCCGTAGCCTTACGTTATCGTGCGGAAAAACAAGGTAGGGCGGTTCTATAGTTAGCGCCCTTAGCTCTGATACCCTTCTAGCAGACGTAATGGCTACTATGAAAGCAACCTTCAATGAAAGGTGCTTCAATGAACATGTAGCCAATGGCTCGAAAGGAGGGGACATAAGCCTGTGTAGGACCAGGTTGAGGTCCCAGGCAGGGTGTGGAGCCCTCACTGAGGGGTATAATTTCTCCAAACCAGTAAGAAACCTTTTAACCACCTGGTTAGAAAAAAAAGCGAGGTTCCTGCCGTACCAACATGGAAGGCGGAGAGAGAGGCCACATGGACTTTAATAGAAGAAAAGGACAGGCCACTAGATCGGAGTTGAAAGAGATAGTCGAGAATAGTCGGAATAGGGGCCGAGGACGGGTGTACTCCTCTCTGGGATGCCCAAGACGAGAAGCGCCGCCACTTGGCAGCGTATGACCGTCTAGTAGAGGGCTTCCTGCTGCTAAGGAGCACCATCTGTACTTGTTGGGAACATTCCCTTTCTGGTTGGTTCAACCACGGATAAACCAGGCCGTTAGGTGAAGAGACCGGAGAGCCGGGTGAACCATTATCCCCCCGTCCCAAGGTTGAGTTAGCAGGTCCCGAACTGGAGGGAGTGCTATAGGGTCTTGGGTCAGCATGTCCACCAGGATGGGGACCCAGAACTGTCTGGGCCACCTGGGGGCTATGTGGATGATCGAGGACCGAAAAGTTCTCGCTCTGGTCAATACCCTGGAAATTAGGAGAAATGGGGGAAAAGCATAGAGAACGCCCTTTGGCCACGTGGTTGTTAGGGCGTCTCCCCTGGAGAATTTCTCCAGCCCCAGCAGGGAACAGTAGTTCCTGCACTTGGCATCGCATGCCAAGGCGAACAGGTCTAGGTGGGGATAGCCCCACCTGCGGAAAACCTGACTGAGGACAGAGTCCTTGAGCGACCACTCGTGGGCTCCAAAGGATCTGCTCAGTGTGTCTGCTAGTAAGTTTTTGCAGCCGGGGAGGTACTCCGCCTGAGGCGTGATATTGTGCGTGACACACAGGTGCCAGAGACGCAGGGCCTCCTTGCAGAGGGGTGGCGAACGTGCCCCACCCTGCTTGTTGAGGTAGAAAACCGCTGCAGTGTTGTCCATATGCACCAGGATCGAGCGGTGGGAAAGCCTCGGCAGAAATGCTTCGCAGGCCCTCCTCACCGCCCGCAATTCCCGGACGTTGATGTGCAGGGTCCGTTCGGAAAGGGACCAGAGGCCCTGAGTTCTGTGGCACCCAAGGTGTGTTCCCCATCCCAGGTCGGACGCATTGGTGACCAGCGTCAGTGAGGGGGGGAGGGGCGTTGAAGGGAACCCCGCTGCACACCATGGTTTCCTGTGTCCACCAGAGTAGGGAGTCCAGAATGTCTGGGGGCACTGTGACTATGGAGTCCCAGAGACCCTTGGATTGGCAGAAGACCTTCGCCAACCACGCCTGCAGAGGTCTCATTCTCATCCTGGCATGTCGCACCGTGTATGTACATGCCGCCATATGGCCCAGGAGCCTGGAGCAGACCCGAGGTGTCGTGATGGGGGATTGATTTAGCCCTGAGATCAGCTCCACTATGGAGAGGAACCTGCTGTGGGGCAGGAACGCTCTTGCCACCTTTGCATCGAGGAGGGCTCCCACAAATTCTATCCTCTGGGAGGGGGTCAGGGATGACTTCTCGACATTTATCATGAGCCCTAACCTTAAGAAGAGAGCTTTTATGAGTGTTACATGAGCTTCTACCTGCTCTTACGAGCGACCTCGGATCAGCCAATCGTCGTGGTATGGGAACACACGTACCCCTCGATTGCGCAGAAAGGTGGCAACCACAGCCATACATTTTGTAAATACCCTTGGTGCCGTACATAACCCAAAGGGGAGTACCGTAAACTGAAAATGGCAACGGCCCACCATAAACCAGAGGAACCTCCTGTGACTGGGCCTGACTGCCACATGGAAGTGGGCATCCTTTAGGTCAAGAGTTGCGTACCAGTCGCCCAGTTGTAGCACTGGGATGACCGAGGCCAAAGTCACCATTCTGAACTTGTGTTTTACAACCGCCTTGTTTAAGAATCGCAGGTCCAGGATAGGACGAACTCCCCCTTTTGGTTTCGAAACAACAAAGTAACGGGAGTACAACCCCCTGCCCTGCAGATGCGGAGGGACCCCCTCTATTGCTCCTTTTTCGAGGAGCGCCGCCACTTCCTGAGACAGGATGTGTTCATGAGGGGTGTCCCTTACTAGGAACAGAGTAGGGGATTTTGAAGGCGGTGAGCCCAGGAATGGGATAGAATAGCCCGTATTTACAATGTTCAGGACCCAGGCATCTGATGTTATCAGGGCCCATGCCTGGGCAAAACGGGATAGCCGGGCCCCAAACGGGGGGCCAGGTTGGCAGACTGGTACGGGACTCTTGAATACTGTGTCAAAACTGGGGCTTGCCCTGATGGGGAGGGCCTCAAAACTGGGGCTTGCCCTGATGGGAAGGGCCGTGGGGACCTGCCTGCTGGGGATCTGACGTAGGGCGGCGACGTCGGCCCCTAGGCCCTTGAGGGTGTGTAGCCGCCCCAGAACCTCCACCGGAGGTCCCACGGGGGACCTGGGGCTGCACTCTACCCTGCTGCCTATAAGGCAGTTGTCGCCGCTGCGTGGCTGGCGTATGTATGCCCAAGGACTTCAGAGTTGACCTCGTGGCCTGTAGGGTATGGAGCCTGGAATCGGTGTGCTCCAAGAACAGAGTCTTCCCCTCAAAGGGCAAGTCCTGGATAGTGTGCTGCACATCCGAGGAATCCCCGAGACGTGGAGCCACGCCCCGCGACGCATAACGATGCCCGTCACCATGGTGCGGGCTGCCGAGTCCTCAGTGTCCAATGACGCTTGGAGGGCAGTTCGTGCTATGGCTTTACCCTCGGAAGCCATAGCCGCAAACTCTTGGCGGTCCTCCATCGGGAGTCGGTCTCTAAACTTTTCGACAGCTGCCAGGTGTTAAAAGCATACCTGCTCAGCATCACCTGCTGGTTAGTCATGCGGAGCTGTAGAGCACCTATAGCATAGACCTTACGGCCCAACAGGTCCAGCTTCTTAGGCTCCCTTGCCTTTGGAGAAGGCCCGGGCTGGGGAAGCCTTTCTTTTTGGGCCGCGGCCTGCACGACCAAGGATCCCGGGATGGGCTGGGAGTAAAGGAATTCATGCCCCAACTGCGGGACGAAATAACTCCTCTCTACCCCTTTTAGGGTAGGGGTCAAGGTTGCTGGTGTTTGCCACAGGGCATTAGTAATTTTGGAAACAGTTTTATTGAGCGGTAAGGCAAACCGCGTAGGGGCGTCCTCCGTGAGTGTCCTCAATTATGGGCTCCACCGGAACAGCCAGGTTGGAAGCCATGCGCCGCAGGAGATCCTGGTGTGCTCTGGCATCCATTGATGGCAGACCAGGTGCTGGGTCCGCTAGTGCCTCATCGGGGGAGGACGACGACGACGACTCCTGAAGTGGCACAGGAGCGGTTGTGGCCAACTGCAGGGCCAGTTGGACGGCCTGAGCTTCTGCTGGGCCTGCCTCCAGTGCCGGTGGTTGCGGTGCCGCAGGATCATGTTGCGGCACCCGAAGCGGGGAGGAAGGTGCCCTGGACAGGGACGCCGACGGACGGAAACAGTGCCCTGAAGCCTCCGACCCAATAGATGGTGGCGGCTGGCCCTGCTGAGGCTGCTTCCTCCATGCTCCCAGACAGAAACTAACTCACTCTCCTCCAGCCCTACCCCCCAGCCAGGGGCAGCATCCACCTTCCTTTGTTGCTCTCCCTGGGGGGTAGCTGGTCAGACAGGTTGAGACACCCTCTCTGCATAATGACTCATCGCCTGTCTTGCTCGGTGGTGCTACAGACAGTAGCCAGTGAGTTAGCAAGTTACCCCCCACTACGTCACAGGGTGCGGGGGCCACATCTGCTGGTTGTGGCCCCTCCAGTGTCTGGATCTGGACCTGGACCTGTGAGTCGAGGATGCTCCCGAGGACCCCGACTGTACCGACACCGTGTCAGAGTCCGAAGAGCAATCAGACTCTGGCCAAGGCAGAGCCGACGAGGAGTGCGGTGCAAACTTGGCCATCGACTCAGGTTTCCCCGCATGAGCACGGCGAGGATGTGCCGTCTGTGGCACCGGGGGACCCATGCCCGGTGCGGCGAATTCTGCCAAGTGCGAGATGGCCAGCTGTGTCACCAGGGTGCCGATGCCCAGTGCGTCGTCAGTAGTTGCGGCACCGGGGTGCCTAGGCCCAGTGCCGAGTGCGTCGTGTGGAGTTGCGGCACCGGGGTGCCCAGGCCTGGTGCCGGCTGCATCACCAGTAGCTGTGGCACCGAGGTGCTCAGGCTCGGTGTCAGTTGCGATGCCAGGAGTTGCGGCACTGGGGTGCCTAGGCCCGGTGTTGATTGCGACGCCAATATCTGCAGCACCGGGGTGTTCAGGCCCGGTGTCGGTTGCAACGCCAGAAGATGTGGTACCGGGGTGCCCAGGCCCAGTGCCGATTGCGTCGTCTGGAGTTGTGGCACCGGGGTGCTTGGGCCCGGTGCCGGTTGTATGGCCAGCAGCTGTGGCACCGAGGTGCTCAGGCTCGGTGCCGGTTGAGTCGTGCCCAACTGAAGCGGCACCAGGGTGCCCAGGCCTGGTGCCAGGGTAGACCACTGGGTCGATGCCGGTGCCAATGAAGGCACGGAGACGGACGCCGAGTCCTGGGAGTGCCTGGACGCCACATGGCCATGGGGGTACGGCACCGGTACCGGCAGGCGGGGCCCTGGCAAAGTGGTAAGCAGTGCCCTGCCATGACTCGAAGCCCCCTGAGACTGACGACTCGGCATCGTGAAGGGTGCCGCAGTAGCAGTGGGAACCGACCCCACCGGGGGCGGTCCCAACGCATAAGCCACCTTAGCATGCCGACTTGGGCCATGCAGGGGCGACGAGGGTGCCCGCCGAGCCTCCGATGAGGGCGACCTCGACCCGTCCGAGTCGACCGAAGACGGCAGGGAGGTCGTGAGACTAATTAGGTCCTGCGCCGCTTCAAAAGTGTCCGGTGTGGATGGACGATGAGAGGGCAGGCGACCAGGACTAACCAGGCCCCCTCGGTGCCGACGGTGCACCGGAGGGGAAACGCACCGGTGAACTACCGCTGCGGTGCCTGGCCGAAGTTGGCTTCTTTGACGGAGATCTGCCCCGGGACTTCTTCACCCTCTTAGATGGCGGAGAGTGAGACCGGTGCCAGGATCTCGATGTCGATGCCCGGGGCCGGTGCGCTGCGCACCGCAGGCTGCTCTGGCGGCACCGGTTGAAGCGCCGTCTCCATAAGGAGAAGCTTCAAGCGGAAAACTCTTTCTTTTCTCGTACGGGGCTTGAAAGACTTGCAGATTTTGCAGGCAATGGCCAAATGAGCCTCACCCAGACACTTAAGGCAGCTGTCGTGTGGGTCGCCGCTGGGCATAAACTTCCTGCAGTCAGCGCACACCTTGAAGCCTTGTGGCCCTGGCATTCCTTACCCCCAAGGGGAAAGGAACAAAACAAAAAACCTAACTAACTACACAAACTATTTACAATGTGAGAAACGGGAACCATTGACTATCTAAGCCTAAGCAGACAGAGAGAGAGAGAAACGCTCCAACAACCGTCACGGTGGTAAGAAGGAACTGAGGTGGAGCAGTGCCGGCAGGGGTACTTATGCCCCGCCATGGCGGCGCCACTCCAGGGGGCGCCCCACCGGCGCAACGGGTACCGCTAGGGAAAACACTCCGGAAGACGTGGTGCACGCGGCGCGCACACCTACTTCGAATGGACATGAGCAACCACTCGAAGAAGAACATAACGTTTGGCTCCCCAAGTTCCAGTCAAAAGTGCAAGCAGGAAATGGACTTGCTGCAACAGTGCAAATCTTTTATGTAAAAATAAAAAAGGAAAAATTTGGGGGAAAAAAAGGAAAAGCCGACTTAATATATAAAATATCAGAGAGGTGCAAAAACTGAGTTAATAGCTATTTTGTTGTACTATTTATACACAAATCTATCTCTAGGTGTTCTGAACACAATACCTTTAAAAAGCCTTTTCATGCTTTTTTTTTTTTAAACTTAACAGAGGAAGTTTGTAGATCTATAGTAATTTACTCCCACTATACCGCCTGCCTCTTTTGAAAAGAATGTTGTCAAAGCCTGCTTAGGTTCCAGCTGATTTAAATAAAATCTGCTCAGCAGTCAACCAGACAGTAAGATTAAAGCACTGCCATAGACCTAACTTGGGAATTAAGAACAGTTCTGAAAGTAGAAAGAAAATGCCAATATTTAAGAGTAGGATATATGACCTATCAAGTTCACCATGCATTTCTAAACACTTCATTTATTGTAGTATTAGATCAAAAGCATTTATCAATGCCACCTCAGAATGGGATGCATTCTAACTATTCAACCAAAAGGCAAAAGCAACAGGTTTCTCTGCAATGCACTCCCCACCCTACTGGCTCCAATATCTACACTAGATCCTACAGCATCATTCATATTTAAGGCGAGCAGATGTTTTCTAAAATACCTAGGAGAATAAAAGTTTTTAGTGATTGACTTAGCTTTGTTAATGAAAGAATAAGCACAATACCAAAGAGGTTTTTATATGACATTAGGAATATACAGGGCAGGACATTTTCCAGAGTGCTACATGGTACATTAAACACAGATCCGAAAATTGAAAAGAATTTCCCTGCACAATTCCCTTTGCACCAATAAAACAAACTAAAGCTTTGCATTTCTGGGTGGATCCCATCCTCTTTAGAACAGTCAACACAACTGGAAGCGGAAGGAAAAAAGACAGCAGCATGCTCCACGTAGAAGTTACACCAATGTAGTTACATTTAGCGAGAGCTAAACCCACAGAATACAAATGTAAACCAATTTGGAGTGTCCATATACAAAACTGCATTGGTTTAACTAGACTGGTGCAGCATTAGTTTGAAGGGTGCAATGGGTATGGTAACAAACCCTGTTTGGAGCCACTGGAGTTTGGTGTGTGATTTCATGAGAACAAGGATGACACTTCAGATGGTGATGACAGTCACCAGGAGGACAGCTATGTTCCTGCATAAGTGCAGTTCAAGCAGTGAACACTGTCTGAAAGTGGACACTTACAAGTCTGAGAAAAGTTTTTATTTTCCATTAAAATGTTCTAATTTGTACAGTTCATATTGCATTATGCAAGTGCCTGTTGACAATTACATTTTAGCCAAGGAAATGATTTCTTCAGAAGCTCCTTTAACCCCTCCCTGACACGACAAAGCAGTCTGTAATATATGACGACAAATTAAAGAGTCAAGGAAAATACATTTCTCCATTTTAGGATCACCCGGTCCCAGGCAAAATGAATATCCTTGCACCACAGTGGCAGAAAGAAGGAAATAAGACCACAAGGAAGAATATAATAAATTCCTCCATCCCACTCACCTTGTAAAGTATAAGCTGCCAACTGGACGGTTGTGTCAAACGGGCATTCCAATCTGCCATAGGAAAAACGGTTTAGTAGACAAATCTCTGTGTGATTGTGTTCGCAAAGGAGACAACATTTAAGCATTTGAGAGCTGAGGAGATGCAAAGGGTTGCAGTGAATTTTGGCTCTTTGGTAAATTGATGCTTGAGATAAGCACTAATATTCAGGCTACTCTAATGTGGTTTTTTGAGCCAGCACATCAAAAATACTTACCGGTATTTGCTTATACACAGAAAGTACCAATGGGAAAAAAATTCTTATCACACTGAATGCTGGGTTTCCTAGTTTTCCTAGAAACTGTGTAGTTAAACCTCATGTTAAAACACACTGTAATTACCTGAGAGACTTAATGTAGCACACATACCAATACGTACTTACTTTCCACTGAGAATATCCTGTTTTAGCTGAAGAACAAATAAATACCTAAGAAGGTAAAAAAAAAAAGGGACAAAACCATCAATTAGAGCAGGGTTTCACAACCTATGGGTCAGGACTCAAATATGGGTCGCCATTACATTTCAAAAGGGTCGCCAAGTGTCTCCCTAGGTGGCTCTGCGCCCCCTCTTCCCCCTGTTTTTGAATTGCCTTGGGTCACCAAGTCTTCCTGAATTATCAAAATGGGTCCCCACCTGGAAAAGGTTGGGAAGTGCTGAATTAAGAGCTAGCAGTTCTAATGCCAGTCAGCAGATGGACAAAGGGAGCCATAACCTGACATATAAGAACTCAATAAGGTGAAACTTAAATTTAAGATGCCGTACACTGATCTTTCAAGGCCTCTCAATCTGACTGTGTGTAGTTTGCACACTGTTCAAAGGAGGATAAACCCAAATGACGACTTACCAGAATTCCGATCAAGGACCTAAAGGAGCAAGAAGGTGGTGCTGCAGGATTAGCCCTGCTTATTCCTCTAGTTCCCCACAAGGACTTAGTAATGCACCATGTGACAGTCAGCACCACACATCTTTCAAAAGTATTGTCTAAAATTTTTCCCAGAACTGCCTCTCCCTAGACCCCTTCCTGAAAACCAGCCTCAGAAGAGTGGAGCTGGAAGAAAATAAAGTGGCAGGTTATAAACTTGATCTTCATAGGAAGGCCCTGCAGAAAATCTTGACTTACAGACTGTTCTTCCTTTGGGTTGGAAAGGAACCAGGCAGTGAAAAACAGAACTACCCTTTTATTCTCCTTCTGATGGGTGTGCTTCAAAAAGAAGCTACACGAAAAATGTCATTTATTATACAGTAATTGTTTCTTCTAGATACTCTAGACCAGTGTTTCTTGAATTGTGTTCCGCGAGGCAGTCGGAGGTGTGCTGCAGAGAACAATAGAATTCAAAATGGCCATCCTTAAAGGGCTCAATAACTCCTCTACCCCGACCCTTTGTTTGTTTTTTTTCGCTCAACAAAAAATCCTTACTGTTCCTCAGCCATCCACAGGTGTGTACAGCAGAGTACAACTTTCTACCAAATAAACAGAGCCTGTTGGGGATAGCGCTTACTGGACTTCAACTTTTCTTGTATTGCAAAGAAGATTAAGTGAGAAGAACATAGAGCACTCGGATTCCATGGGAGGCATTTAGTACCTTTTCCTGATTCATTTCAGAGTGCCAGTTTGTACCACAGCTAGTGTGGCAGGACCAAGCAGTCCCTCATGTATAGGAAGAGCAATACTAGCTGGGACTGCAGGCAGAGGAGGAATAAAAAATGCTTGTGGAATTTCTCCATTATGACTGATGTCTTGAACTCTAAAGTCTCTGCCATCATCCAAAAGAACACCTGGAATGCTTTTTTATAGAGTTGTCTGCTGCTGGTCCTGCTGCTGAAAATAGTGCTTTACCAGGTGATGAGAATGACTAGTCCCTTCATGACAGTACACAGCATTGGTACTGCTGTGCCCTTGGACACTTTCTGGTACTCTGGCCACAGATGGTGATGAGGTGTATCTTCTTCCTTTTTCAAGAGAACAATGCCTAAGATGGCAGGCTCCAGCACCCCAATGGGGCAATAGTGGTGTGCCATAAAAGTAAGGCTGGCTTGTTGTATACTGGCCAATCCATACCCATTCCCAATGAACTGGTGGAAGCAGAGCCCTGAAGGGTAAGCTGACAGGACTACCGGCAGTGTTGACAGCTGACCTTGGCTCTCTATTGGAAGATGGAGAGAATGCATGTCCCAGTGATGGTGAGGACCCAACCTCCCCCAGGGGCAGCACCGAAGAGTAAGGTGCTCTCAATACTGGTTCAAGTCTGCATCATGGTACCAACACTAATCTTGCTTCTCCTCTCACCACACCTTCCTGAGTCTGTTGATACTGATAGATGAGTTACTGGAGCCGGGGTCACTGCTGGAGGCCAAGTTAGAAGCACCCCTTCTCCTCAATCCTAGATGCCATGTGGGGTTTGGATTTATCTTCATAGGCTTTATGGCATCTGTCCTTCTGGGAAAACACTGAGCTCTGTTTGGCACCTCTGCCTCAGTGTTTGAGTGGAGTGGCACTTCTGTGTACAAGACTGACACCAGAAGTGTTGGTGAGGAGTCATTCCTCACTGCTGTTATTCTGTACCTATTCTGGGCATCGCTTGTATGGTAGATGGGGCAGAAGATGAAGCTGGTTTGTCTGTCAGCAAAACTCTAGAACTGGTCTCCTCTCTGACTGATGTGACCTTAATGAACGGTTCTAGAAGATGGAACTTTAGCCTCAAATCTTATGATTTACATGTTCTGGTAGAGAACAATTTGCAGACTAAGCATCTGCTCAGTACATGAAATTCCCCCAAACAGAAGAATCAATAGCTGTGCTTACCAGTCTGGATAATTAGTTCATTAGGATGGACAAGGCTTAAAGCCCTGAGGATAAGGGGCTGAGACAGGTTCTGAAACCATCATGCTAAGGATCCCTCTTCAGGAGGTTCTGATTGGCAGAGTTCAGCTCAGACAGAGAGCAATGGTTCATGGTGTCAGATACAGATCAGAAGTAATTATGAAGGGTTTGGGTTTTTTTCCAAAGATTTGTAGACATTTAACCTGAGCTAAGAACTAACTGCTAGGACAGTTTTCAGATTCAGTGTTGTTGCTATTGGAAGTAAGAGGCTTGTCGCCATCCTGTCCTTTATGTCCTGGTATAGGAGTACAAAGCAACACAAGGTGCATGAGCTGCTCCAGATGCTGCTATTAATAAAAAAATCTAGTTCACACAAGAGGCAAACATGCATTTAAACAAAGATCCACACTGACACTTTTTGAACTAGCAATGCACCATTGCCTTGCTGATGAGTAACAGTGGATCCGCAATGCTTACAATTAATGGGAATAGGTGAACATTGAGTAAGAACTGACTACTCTTGCTGAGACAGTTTCTCCACTAATAGGACTGATCCACTCTGCAGAAACAGAATGGTCTTCTACAAATAATCTCTGTTGTTCAAACCTGGTAAGTTTCACCCTTCTTCTGAACTCGGCAGGGAAAAAAAAGACCCATGGTGTGTGTCTATTCATATGCAGGTTAGTCCCAGATGAAAAGGGATTCAAAAATGCTCTTTTCTGATAGGAACTCATGTTTAGACATGACTTATATCCTGCATTAAAAACACCGGGGACTTGTATCTCAATATGACGGTGAAATAATCTTCACTTTGCTAATGTTTTGCATAGATCCTGAAAGTGATGGGGCCTAACTGAATTCATTTCTACCGGAGAGAAATCCTCAGTTACAAATACATTTTTTATGTTTTTCTCTCCAAAAAAAACCATAGATATCACATGGCTTTAAATTAACCATAACCCATAAAAGACTGAAGACAGGAGTGTCACAAAACATAAGCTTCCCTTATAAGCTCAGAACCAATGCCATCCTATTAGCAGAGTTTATTAAAGACTGGGGCAAAAAGGAAGAAAAAAAAAGCCAAATGTATTAAATGAATATTGGGGAAGGAAAAAAAAAAAAAAAAAAAAAAAGGACAATGAACACATTAGCCAGTAAATCCCAACAGTAGCCAAACAGCTCTGCAAACAGAGGCTAGGACAACAGAAACATATGCCCTGCAATTATGTAGATCACACTCAATTTACCTTGTTAACTCTTCACGGAGATTGTTAGGTTCAGAGGAGTAAAACTTTACACGAAGATGCAGACAGTATGGTGGGCCAACTGCAAAGTAAATGAATTTAAGACACTGATAACAAGAGACCTGAAGAAGGTCCAAATGTATTAACAAAAAGCAACACACATAACAAAAGTCTGCCTATCAATGGTTGTGTCCTACCACAACATGTTCAAGAAAAGAATTCCCTTACGACAAGAATGTTTTTTTCTATTACACGTTAACAGACACTAATTACAAGTCAACCCAGCTGTCATAAACCATTAAGTTGATTTGTCTTGCCAAGAACAGACAAATCTAGGTTAATCCTAATATTTAAGCACTCTGTCCATCACGTAGAGAGCCATGGATTTTGGCTCTATACTCAGCCAAATTCTTAGCAACCGTACTGGTCTGCATAAAACACTTGCAGAGCTCTGGGAGTGCCTGCTGTTGATGGGTTGTGTCACCATATTCCACAGATTTTAGACCTAATTTGGTGCACTTTAATAGTCCCTCTGTGCATCATCTTTCTAGAAGGCACATAGTTAATCCAAAAACTGGATTAATGGTTCTTTGAAACTGCAGCGCTCTAGATGGATTTATGCATTGAAACTAGGATCCTTCCCTGACATCTCTTCCAAGATTAACATTTTATTAAAATAGCATCTCAAGATCCTAAAAGACTGTACAGTTATCAGCAAAGCTGCTGCTGAACAAAGTCAAACAAAATGGACATACTAAGGCCAGGTCTATACTATGGGAGAAGGTCATCTTAAAGTACGCAATTCCTGCTATGTAGATAATGTAGCTGTAATCAACATACCCTAAGCCAAACTTTGGCACCATTCCCACAGCAGGAAGTCGATGGGAGAAATGCTCCAATCAACTTCCCTTACTGGAATAGCACCCTCGAGGGTTCCTTTATAAGCTCAGAACCAATGCCATCCTATTAGCAGAGCTTATTAAAGAATGGGGCAAAAAGGAAGGGAAAAAAAAGTCAAATAGCAGCACCCTTGGGATTTAGCGGGTCTCTACTAGACCCACTAAATTGAACGCCAGAAGATTGACCGTCGCAGCATCTATCTTTCTGCAAGTCTAGATGTGTCCTAACATATCCAAAGTTATCAGCATGCTCTTCTCTGGACCTATCCAATGAGCTACTACCAAACTTTACATCAGATGTGGTTATTTGATAGGCAGATCACATGTAGATTAAGGCATTCTACAACCCATCAAGCTGAGGTGACTATGAAACAATTAGGGAGGACAAGGCTCTACAGCTAGTGAAGAATCTCCAATGGCTATTATGCTAAATAAATCATTTCACAGTTAATGATCCTCTGGCGTAAAGAAAACTACATTATATTAAGTAACAGGAATCAGGAAGTGTTTTTAAGTCACCATTAGGCATGTGCCACGATTTTACCACCACATCATCCCGTTTAGAACACAGCCTGCTCCTGCCACGGTGTCTTCTAACATAGCAAATACACTCGACTACATCCCCACAATGTATACTGATACTCAACTGGCCTAAGAAACCCCAACAACTAAAAGGACACTTACTTTTAACTTGTTTTTTAATGCTCTTTGTGTTATCCAACCAATGCTGAAAGACACAGAATCCTTGAGTTGAAATTTTTTTTATCATAAAATATATCTTTACAAAAAGAAACAGATGTACAACAAGTCACAAAAGTTCACGATGCATTAAAATATTTAAAAGTACAGAGTAGCCCCACTAAAACAAAGCCTAATCTGAATCCATTACGGCTAACAACCATGTCATCTTATGAAAGCATTTTATTCTAAATTATGTGGATTAACCCAAACAAAATGTGTGTCACAGAAGAGACTTTTTTAGGGGATAAATGAGCATAGAAGGACCACATCATATTGCATTACAATAGATCATTTTAACTGGAAATCAACTCAAGACAGAGAGTTTGCTTCAAGTGACTACAGAAGACCGTATCCATTCAGCAATATAAACATGCAAAAGTCAGTCCTCAAAGAGCATCAGTTGTTTGGAGTACTGATATACAAACAATCCATGTTAATGGACCACAAGTTCTTCCAGAACCCACCACAGACAGTGTGATATACATTCACATCACATTAAATAAGGATTTCAATGTCTGATATTGGCCTCAGATTGTGATATACCCTTTGGAAAAGGGGGGAAAATGAAGGAATTATATATATTCATTAAAAATAAAACAACTTTTAAAAATGCTGAAAATGAAATAGTAAAGTTTAAGAGGTAGGAAAAAAGCAGGGGGAGTAGAAAATACCACAACATTTCAATAAGTCTAGATACCACAGTTAATTCTTAGAAGGGAAAAAACAGTGACTCATTTTATGTTGGTAAATAAGACCGACAGGAGAGAAAGCTGCATATTCATGAGTTAAGAAAGAATCCTGGCACAGGCACATATGCAATATGTCCAGGACTCATGCAGCCGTACTCCCTGTAAAACAGAAGTTGTCCCATTAATTGGCCAGTGACAGAGCTGAGCCCACCACATACCCATGTCAGAGGGGAATGATCTGTCCAAAACATGTGACATGGGCAGGTAACAGATGCTGCATTATCCTAGAAGTGAACTACACTGACTCAACAGCTAGAACATGGTACCACGTTTTGGCTGGAATGTGATGCTCAAAGAGGCACCTAAGTCAGCTGACCTCCGATGTCTCCTTGAGTTGAGTTTCATAAGTCAGCAGTGCTCCCCTGATTAAACTAGGGGCCACATTCCTCACACAGGGGCCTGCTGGTTCAGATAATCAGAAAAGGTAAGATAGGGAGGGAAGGCCATTTTCAGACCTCAGGACTGCGTGCACATCTGTTTAATCTCCAATCTGTTTTCTTTCATCTCCTCCACATTCCAGTGGTAGGCAGTTAAGAGGCCCGAGGCAGGCACTGACAGCACTTTACTTGACTCAGCTCCTATCACCAATGCCTCTAGGAGTTCAGTTTGAATGGTAAAGGGGGAGGGGACCATGGAGGAAGGGGGAATAACGTAACTGCTTTTATACACAGGACATCTTGGAGGGACAGGGAGGAGGGAAGAAGCTGCTTTTATTCCAAGCAATTCAGATGAAATCCAAAAGAGGCTGATGAAAAAATTTACACTACACACTCTAGTACCTTTATCCAAATCTAACAGTCACAAAGAATGACTCACTAATGAGCAATGAAAACAGCATATTGAACAAACAAAAAGGTCTAGAAGTTATTCCTAAAACAATTTGGAGTGGATTACTTTGGAAAGGGAAAGCAAATAAATATAAATAGCAGCTTTTTAAACAAAGTGATAAGAATAAATGTTGTTTGACGGGAAGTAATAGCTTTTCTCTTGCTATGTGGAATTAACTGCTCTGTAATTTAGACAATGATATCCAAGTCATGTGCAGCATTAAGAGCTACTGTATCTGAAGTATTATGCTATTTTTGTTAAATACTAGCAATTTCATAACCCACTAACATTTGACTCACTAATGATAAGGTAATTAACCTAACCAGTCTCATATCATCTTTACTTTCCACATCGCTAGGCTGGGTTAGACTGTTTGACACTGACCTGATATATAAAGCTATTTGAATTCAACAGCAGCCTACCCACTGACAATTTGAGCTTTGGGCCCAACTGCTGAATGTTCTAGAACAGTGGTGGGCAACCTGTGTCCCTTTGGGGTTCTGTGTGTGGCCCCAAAGACATTTTGTTTACGGTTGCTCACATGCAGGCTTGCCAGATTCTGCTGGTTTCCATCACTGTAGTGTTTTTCCTCTACTAGTATTACTCAAGTGACGTGTGCCTACAGCAAGGGCACACGAACTGAGTTGCATGCTGACTGCACACAATACAGACTGTAAAAGCCATGCACTCCCTCTGCGTCCAATCAAACCACTGCTACGGTTCAATGGACACACCCACAAATTCTTGGTATGCAAGTGCAGTTAGCAAAACTACTCATTGTTGGTTACTACAATCTTGCAGCCCACTGAGATGAAGGAGGACCACTCACTAGCCTAGCTTGCTCATTGATGCTCTAGAGCAGTGGTCTCCAACCTTTTTACACCCAAGATCACTTTTTAAATCTCAGAACAAGCAAAGATCTACCACCCCATGCTTCCCCTAAGATCCCACCCCTTCCTTGAAGCCCTGCCCCCTCTATTCTCCTCCTCTCCATCACTTGCCCTTATACACTCTACACTGCCACTTTTTTTCCCCCTCCAATTCTTCTGTTGGAAGAGGTTTTTCCAACATTTGGCCTGTCTAGACTGGGCCAAATGTCAGAAAAACCCCTTCTTTTGGAATCCCCCTTATTCTTAGTGGAACAAGGAATATAGGGGTTACCAAAAGAGCATGTTTGCTCTTCCAGTAAAAAAAAGCAGAAGAATAAATGCATCCCTGGATGCAGAAGAGTTTTTCCAGGATATCTCTGGAATCCTGGAAAAGCTCTTGCAGTCTAGCTGTACTCTCACTGGGTTGAGACAGGATGAGTGGGGTCTGGGGTGGGAATGAGGTATTTGGATGTGGAAAAGGGTGAGAGGTGCAAAATCTGGGAGGAAATTTGGATGCAAGAGGTGGAGGAGAAGGGGATGCTGGCTCAGGGAGGGGGCTCCAGGCTGGGGAGTGTTGGGGCCAGATGGAGGGTTATGGTACTAAGCAAGCCACAGGCTTGTGGCTGTGAGGGTGCAGGAATTTGGGTTGGGGTATGTGAGGGGCTCAGGGCAGGGGTTTCCAGTGTCTAGGCTTAGATCTAGGGTCTGGGGGGGGTGTTGCAGGAGTGTTATAATGCTGCAGCCAGATGGGGGCTTGTCCCCAATTGGGGATTTGTTGGCCAGGCTTCATTTTTAAATAAAATACTATGTCAAATACAAAAAGTTAAATTAAATTAATGGAGATTCCAGTTCTAGGAGATAGGCAAGGGACCTTGAAAGGTCATCGAGTCCAGTCCCCTGCCTTCACAGGACCAAGTACAATCCCTGACAAATTTTTGTCCCAAATCCCTAAATGGCCTCCACAGGGATTGAACTCACAACCCTGGGTTTAGCAGGCCAATGCTCAAACCACTGAGCTATCCCGCAAACTAAAAAAAACTCCTCCCAAAATCCCCCCAAGCCTCACTAATGTGACCCCAACTGTACTGGTGGGAGCAGGAGACTTGGTACTGGGGAAGGGTGCTAGTGGGTGCTGGGGCAGGAGACAGAGTGCTGCGGTGGAGGCAGGGTTCTGCAGCAGGGCACATGGGAGAAGGGACAGGGTGCCAGGGGGAGGGGACAGGGTTCTGCAGCAGGGGACATGTT